GGGTCTGGAATGCTATCGCCAATATACTGCAACTTGTATCACTACCTGTGAGATCTTCACTCAAAACTGCTCTAGAGGAGTTGTACACCCCTAGCTGCCACTGCGATTCAGTGGCCTGAAATCAAATGTATCACTCCGGATGACCGCTGCAAAGTATGATCTAGAGTTTTGATTATAGTGTGCTGATCTTTAAAGGTGCATTGACATTTTTTGATACTCCTACTGATACTCCTGCTATTATGGAGTGACTCATGCTGCCAGTTATGGCTGCAAAGTTAGGTCGTACATGTTATGTATATCGTTTATTGTTAAATTTGAATCACAGTTCCTATGATCACTGTTACATTGTTTTTATAGCTTTATTTTGGTTATTCCGAAAACGTTTTGGTTTAGCCATATTTGTTTGTTGTAGTACAGAGTTAGACTGATAACTTTAATCTAGATTGTCTTATGGTTGTTATTGTTTGACTTGCTTCCCACTGGGATTTTTGCACACAGCATTGATATACGGTGCTTTTTCTGGAAGACTTTGCTGTTTTTTCCTGGATTTTTCTGTTGCGCGGAGTCACTTTAAGATGTTTCTTGTTCATGTTTTTGTTTGTTGCGGTTGCACCCGATTCAAGAGCCGAATGGCTCACAGGGCTATACCTAATAAATAAACTGAAAACTGAAAAAAACACATCTTCAGGGGCATCTTGCCCAGAAAATCGGTCCCGAGCAAACACGGGATGGCTAGGGCCGTAGAAACCAAAACATGACCTGACAATTTGACATCGGCGATACGCAACTCAGCCGTTATCCATCTGATTATTCCCAATGACCCGCTTTCGGTGGCAAAACATGGAGCATCCACAGGTTCCAAAACGCGACACCAGGGAGGTAAAATGTTATAGATGAGTTCAGAAACAATGGTCGAAGATGTGCCGGTATCAACGAGCATATGGATTTCCACTCCCTAGATAAACCCGAGCACGGCCGACGAACCCACGGCCGCCGTGATGGGCCAGCTCCAACCACTGATTCGTTCGGAGCGGGCGTGCGTCATGAATATGTCCCGACTCCCCCCCGAACCCACGCGCGACCCCGACCCCGACCCCGACCCCGACCCCGACCCCGACCCCGACCCCGACCCCGACCCCGACTCCGACTCCGACTCCGACCCAAACCGGACCCCCCTGATGGGTGAAGTGAACCCCGGGGCCGAGTGTGGAGTTCGCCGCGACTCGCCTTATGAAGCAGGAAGTCATAGGAAGGTGGACTTTCCGGGGACCGCCGTCGAGGAACCCGACAGCCCGACTGGACGTGCCCCGGCAGGCCGCAGTTGTAGCAGACGACCCGGCCACTCCGGGACTGGGACGATGAAGACCTCGCCCGTCGCCGGTCGTCCCTCCGCTGATTATCAGCACCCCGATGGACGCCACCCCGCTGGTGCAGCGAGCGTGCAGGAGCAGGCTCGGTCTCCGCACAGGCCTCCGGTTCTGTGGAGGATGTGGCGCACACCACCAACACCCTGTCGCGATGCAGGGTCTGCTGCGCCTGTATGCACCTGGCGACCCGGAGTGAAGACACCGCATCGTCCTCGGTGGGAAGAAAAGTATGGAGGTCTTTCGCGACTCCCAGCATCTTCTCGAGGACCAAGGCGTGAAGACCGTCGTGGTCCATTTTAGGGAACGCGGCCTTCGCTAGCGAACTTTTGCCGGGTGTTCAGCGGAGGCTCAAAAACAGCCGCCATCTGGTCAAACGCTTGCGTGAGGGTGGATCTGTCAGACGGCGGGATGGCGAGGAACGCCGCCAAGGCGTCGTCGTCGAGGGTGGCGGGGAGCGCTTTCAGCGCCTCCGCCTCCGCCCATCCCGCCAAGTCGGCATTGGTGAGAAATCGCCGCTTAAACGCTACCCAATCGCCGCTGGCAGCAACAAATTCTTTAATGAAGGGCAGTCGGCGGCGGAGCGACGGGATGTCCATCGGCAAGGACAGCTCCGCTTCGAGCCTGGCGGGCTCCGCGCCGGCGGTAAAATGGCGGCCGCGAGCGTGGGCTGCGCCGTCGACGTTCACGCCCTTTGTGAAATGGCGGCCGAGTCGCTCCGTCGAGACGACTCGCCGCTCCCTCCTTCGCCGCAGCAGATAGAGGACGCAGCTCGGCGAGGATCGAGGACGCCATCTGAAGAAGCTCCGCAAGGCGACCGTGCGCATCTCTGACGAGCGCCTCCAATGATGGCGAGGCGCCACGCGCTCCGACGGAGCTCTGCTCCGCTGGCAGCGCCTCCGCTCCTTCATCGACAGCCGTGGGTGGAATCAGCTCATCGTCTTCCAACGCCCGTGTACGAACTCTGCGACGTGTAGACATGACTGTCTATCGCTAGCTATTTCATAGCAAGTTGGCCACTTCTGACACCAGTTGTAGTGAGTCGAATTGAGTCGCAGACGTTATCTTGGGAGCAACACGTTTCATTAAACTCTTAGCACAACATACTCCAAGCTATTAACACAACAAACTCTAGGGTGGTGACTACCCAACTAACCACGCTATGGCGGAACTAGACACGGTTCCACTATCCCGTTCCGGACCACAAGCTGGGTCCCGGACCGCGTGGCTGGAGGCTTCTTCAAGCTTGACGTGGATCTCCTGCCTCTCCAACAGTAAGAACCCCGAGCCCCTGACAGGGCCCCCCTTATATCGGGCCGGGCTTGGGCTGGCTCCGCCTCTGTTATTTAAATGCATGCTTATAAATGGCACCATACTTCAATAGGGATTACCATTGGTACGGCTTTTTAATAAACACAATTAGACAGGAAGGACAAGTTCAAAGGGCTCGCATAATGCACATGCATAATGTACGTTGACTCATGAATCACCCCCCCACCCCCCACATTGTGCAAGAGCGCAGAAGGGTGCTCACCACATCTACGCCTCTATATAAGGAACGAAACAGGTGGACTTCTCCACAAATCCAGCTGCCGCCTGATGAAGCTAGTTGTAATTACTGGCAAAACGTCGTACTCAGATTGTAAATGTGGCTTGGCTCTCCAACACACCGGTGTGCTGTACCAGTGACGAATTGGCCACGTTCTGTTTACGTGACAACCCTTACTAGTTGGCTGTGTCGGGTGGTGGCGGGTTTTAACGACACATTTATATATTTACGCGATCTAACCCAAAAGACCGCTATTATGCATGGAAATCCAGTTTACCATAATACAAATTAATAATAATTTACACTTACGAAGCGCGTTTTACCCAGAGGTCGCAAGGCACTAAACAGAGCTGAAAGCAAGCAAGTCAATAACTCGTGCAATTCTAAAACCTAATATAAGCATGCAGGTTCATGACTTAACTAAAGGTATAAATACCCCCCCCCCACACTCCATAAACACATAACCAATTTAATCAGAATAAAAGGCCTTAGAATAAAAATGTCAAGGCGGGAGTCCAGGTTACCATTGAAGTCCAGTTTACCACGCAAGTCCACTTTACCATGGAAGTCCAGTTTACCATGGAAATCCAATTTACAATAGGAGTCCAGTTTACAATGGGAGTCCAGTTTGCCATGGAAGTGCAGCTGGACATGGGAGGACAGTTTGCCATGGAAGCCTAGTTGAGCATTGGAGTCTAGTTTACTATTGAAGTCCAGTTTACCATGGAAGTCTAGTTGAGCATTGGAGTCTAGTTTACCATGGAAGTCCAGTTGAGCAAGGGAGTCCAGTTTACCATGGAAGTCCAGTTTACCATGGAAGCCTAGTTGAGCATTGGAGTCTAATTTACCATGGAAGTTCAGTTTACCATGGGAGTCCAGTTTACTAGGGAAGTCCAGTTGAGCATTAGAGTCCAGTTTACCATGGAAGTCTAGTTTACCATGGAAGTCTAGTTGAGCATTGGAATCTAGTTTACCATGGGAGTCCAGTTTACTAGGGAAGTCCAGTTTACCATGGAAGTCTAGTTTACCATGGAAGTCTAGTTGAGCATTGGAATCTAGTTTACCATGGAAGTCCAGTTGAGCATTGGAGTCCAGTTTACCATGGGAGTCCAGCTTACCATGGGGGTCCAGTTTACTAGGGAAGTCTATTTTACCATTGAAGTCCAGTTGAGCATTAGTCTCGTTTACCATGGAAGTCCAGTTTACCATGGAAGTCCAGTTGAGCATTGGAGTCCAGTTTACCATGGGAGTGCAGCTGGACATGGGAGTCCAGTTTACCATGGAAGTCCAGTTGAGCAAGGGAGTCAATTTACCATGGGAGTCCAGTTTACCATCATAATATAATGAATAATAATTTATACTTATGAAGCGCGTTTCACCCAGAGGTCGCAAGGCGCTGCACAGAGCTACAAGCAAGCAAGTAAAGAACTAACGCAGGCTCGTGACAACCAAAGGTACAAATACCCCTCCACACTCCCAAAACACAGCCAGTTTAATCACGAAGAAATGCCTTTCAATAACAAAAATGTCTTAAGGCGGGAGTCCAGATTACCAAGGGAGTCCAGTTTTTTTTACCGAATTCGAAAAAAAAATGATCTTCTTATTACTTCGGTTTGGCGACCCCTGCTCTAGGCCCAGGTTTAGTGCGGCCAAGATGCTTGAGGTGCCGGATTGAAGTCGAGCGGTGGGGCCTCGTGTGTCGCGTCCAGCCCTGCCATCACCCGACTCGAGAACAAATGAAGCGTCGCCCATTCATGATTTAGCAACTGAAGAGAAATAACCAGAAAGATGGAAAGGCATCCCGAGGGGTTAAGTGCAACACAAGCAGCCGAACGAAAATTTTGTTTATAATTGGAAGAAAAACGTGGACAAAATGTCCCCACTGAACACACAAACATTACATTTAAAATACAGTACTCAAGTATATTATACACATGTGCATTCATGACAGGAATTTATACTAAGCACTCTTTACAAGGACCGAGAATTAGAATCTTTATTCATACTGGAGGAATCCGATGAGCTACAAAGCTCTTTTTCACAGACGTTCAGTAGGGGTGCGTCAGAAAGTTACAAGAAGCAAAAGGAACAGAAGATTATTTTATTATACATTTGTAAAACAAAAATGTATATACATATAGGCGACAACCCAATGTATTAATAATGGAAAATACTCTGTATTTTTTTATGAAAACCCCAACATTGAAATTTCATACCCTTTGCAAACTAAGAGCACACATCAGAAATATTTTAAATGTTAGCAACACAATTTATCCAGTTGCACCTCGCGATGTGATGTCCATGTTATAATGCTTGAGATTACAAACTACCACGTGTCACGCAAAATGTTATACACAGCCTGGCAGTGCCAATTAAGATGAAAATTGACAGTGGAATACATTGTGTTAGATGTTTCAATAAACCTGAACTCATTCTTAACTCAATTGGTCGGTATCCCGAGCCCGAATTAAAAGTTTTTGGCTGAAAATGTTTAAATTACCTTTTCCAGTCATCTCATACACCCACGCGTTGTGTTAATATGTACATAAAAAACAACTGACGCAGCAAAATTGTTGTGTTCTGTATTACGTAATGGTCTGTCTATAAAAGTTCTCCCATTATATGAGCAAGTCGTCTCCAGTGAAACTTGCGAGGAGTGGGATCTGCCCAGGGGTTTTTTTTTTGCTTCATTTTCAACTTTTCCAAGTCCGGGTGCCTACCCCATCCCCCAACGGAGTAATAAAGCTAACACCATAGTTAACAACCACATAGTCAACAATGTAAAAAAAACACAGACAGGCACCCAAACACATTGCCGGGAAGATCGTTCTATTCGCGTGTGAATCGACCCCGACGGGTTTGTCTCGTTGTTATGCTCGTAATGCAGGTTACAGCTGTGTTGGCAGGCTCCAGAAGCACCCTTTGAAAGGTACAAAAGTGCACCCGTGCCCGCAATCCATACGTGGACCCCGTACAAGGGTGCCACTTTTTGATATACGTGAACACATTTATAAATCCCGTTACTGGTTTCTTACGAGACTCCGGACTTGAAATATCCGCGTATTGATTGGCCGAGGTGGAACAATTACATGACCCCCACGTTTGAGTGACATCACTCCGCTGGTTAATTCGTTTTTTTCTTATTGTGGGGTGGGGGGGCGTCCACAACAAATCCGCGAGATATCAATGACCTCAGCTTACATGTCATTGGAAGTTGTAAGGAAATCACACCGGCTATGTTGGACCAAGTGTATCAGAGGAGTTAAAAGACGTTGTTTTCTGTATAAATGATCCATATTATTGTCGTGGGGTAGCCGTAAATACATCACCAAATCGTTTGGCGGTCACTCATAGCGAGATGCACTGTGCGCCCATCCCACTAACATCTATCTCAATGGTGAACATCTTCCCATGCATTGTAGACCCTAATTTAATTCAGGAACACATCTGGTGGTTGCACCACTCTCAAATTAAGCCGCATTGCCGTGAGGTGGGGGGAGGGCATATATTTAATGAAATGAGGTACTCACAAATGCCCTAGTCCTGAAACTTGCCCATCTGTAACTCCTTCCAAAACGATGTAGCCATAATGTAAATGTAACCTGCTGACATGTCTGATGTAGAGAAGACCCTCTTTTTTTTAAATAGCCACAGAAATAATTGTAACTCTTGGCCACCAATATTTGTTCAATGGTCAAATATAATGGAGGCCCAATGATCGTAGAGCAGGTGTGGCGAGTTGGTTATTGAACGCAGCACGACGCTCCTCGTGTGGCAGAGCAAGCAGGTCGACCGTGATCCACACGCACGCTCACCCTCGCGTTCCTATGGCCGCAGCTCGATCAGACTGACCACAATGCTGATGAACCGTGCTACGAAATTCATAATCAAGCTCAATAAAAGCATTTGGTCTGGCTTTGAGACACACACCGCCGTGGGCATCTGCATGACATATTGGCCGTGTCTCTAGTGGGGAACAAATTACTTTTCAACGACCTCCTAATCACTTAACAATCACGGCCCTGTACACACTTGCTTACATGGGCCTAAACCTGTGAAAAATGTTTTTACCAACCACGTGGAGGCCATGTGGGTACATGTGGGTACATAGCCTTATGGCCCAGGCAAATCACAGAAGTGCAGTGGCTTGCAAACCTTGACAATAAAAAATGTATGTTGCATATCCCAAAGGTGGCGATGTATTAAATATAAACCATTTTAAAATACACGAAAACATTTTGAACCGAAATGCACAAACACCCCGGCGCTGACCTTCATCACTTGTATGCCTAAGTTGATGGCCTAAATTAGGAGCGTGGTTCGTTTTGTGCAAGAGTCCCACTACTGCACTGACATGCACAATTTTCGTGTGCAAGGAGTAAAACGACTCTCCATGCGGTGAGTACGGACGGGTTGTGCTTGTGAGTCTTGGGTTGGCCGCCACTGAAAAGGCAATCTCACGACCTTTCAGTATGCCAAGAAAACACTTCGTAAGTTTATTCGGTATTTATACACTTTAAAAATATAACTTACAATGGTTTGTTTATACGTGACTATAAACTCCCACAATTTTCCGGAAGGCAGATGGACTTTTAGAAACACCAAAACATTACTATAAAAGGCAGAAATAAAAGCATATACAGAATTAAAAAAAAAACAATACAAATTCCTTAATTTCAATCGAAAACAAAGTAAACAGCAAGGACAGAATATTGGCAATAATTATAATCGGGGGTTAAAATTACGCATTTGTAATAACCCTAACCAGGTAGCAGTATACCACCAAGAAATCTTAACATTGTCAGATGTTTAAACCGTGTGTTATCCACTTGCACCATCTCAGGCCAACACTTCTGTTCGGACAGCGTCTGTAAACATTTAACTGTAGCATATCCATGACGTATCCACACACCGCGTTAGCTTCCAGTGTTGTTTGCATTCAACATACGAACAATTCGGTTTTATGCCCAAGAACATCCAATTCTTCGTCTGTTGTTCAAATTGCAAATACAACTCTTAAAAGATGTTCACATGATGACATTTACGCTAGCGCTCTGATACAAACCGCTGTTACAATACATTACTACATACAGCCTCGGCCCAGCTGCTGGCAACTAGCATTGGCGTAGCCCATTCTTACAATCCCATTCACATAGAGATAACATTATGAACAAAACAAAAATACCTCCAAGATTGTTTGACATTCTCAGAATCAATGGAGGGGAGGCTATTATGGCAGCATGTGCATATGGGATGGTAAACAATGGAAAAGGAGATTGTAACCATGTTTGCTTATTACTCTGGGTGTAATTTTTCATACCCAGATGTGTTTTCACGATCGTGTTGCAAGTATAATGAGCACAATTTTGCATAAATTGAAGTGGTCATTCTATGAAAAGCCTGCGACATCACCATGGGAATGTGGAATTTCCATCGCTAGCTAAGGGAAGAATACAGAGCAGGTTGCGTTAGTAGACACTTAACTTTACAGGCTTAGTTTAATCATGTATTTGCTATCTTTGTTAATCGAACCATCAAATTATTTGTCCCACGTTCAATCCCCCCCCCCCTGAAATAAAGAAATCAAAGGAGATGACGGGGGAATCTTCCATCTTGGCGGTGCCCACGATGTATCGATAGATATGGACAACATAACTCCAAAGGATTTATTTAGGGAGTCTGGAACAGCCAGGATCATATAGCCAACGTGACAACAGTATTGGTGCTATTGAATTGTGTGTGCTGATCCAATCTACCAACCCAGGACGGTCTAGGAGCTCTCTTCCTGGAGAGCTGAATGATCATCCAGGGCATCGGACACACCATAGCCACGTCAAAATAACATGGAGATAAAATCCTTGGATTACATTTCTTGAAGAGTGGAAGGCTTCATTGGGTTTGCTTAATTATTCTTTCATTTGCTTTTGCAGAGGGTCTCGTAGAGATAGCAAAGGAATCTTGAAGGCTTGTCCCTTCAAAATACAGCCTGTGCTTTATTAGCATCCTGCTGTTCAGGGTCTCAGAACTCGAAATGGTGCTTGAAGTGGAGGCGGCTCTGTGGTTCCGTGGCCATGAGGCTGAAGCGCAAAGTTGAATGGATCGTGTCGGCCGAGACACGCGACAAAACTCGAAAGCAGCGATAGCCATCTCCTCCTGCCTCCGACAGCAAAGCATTGCCACTTGTTGGGCTGAGAGCGCGCGTTGCGATGGCCTCGGGTGGTGTGGTACAAACTGCGGAGGTGGCATCACTCGCAATGGGCCAGACGTGGTCATTTTTCACGGGAAGCAGGACTCTCCATGTTGTGAGAGACTCCCCCCCCCCCCCTAGACACTGGAAACACTGAAGTGAGGGGGGGTCTGACTTGGAGAGTTGAGTGGAAAGCGCCCTCATAGACCACCTTAGCTCCATTATGATAACTATGCAATTCAGAACCAAAAAAACTATAAATTAACTATTCTTATTCAATTAATTTCAATCAACATTCTGATCGTTACATTTAATGGATTAAACTCAAGTTCTGCCATGAAGCTAACTTGAAACGTATTCATAAAAATTAATGTGCATGTGAACATACTGTAGTTGGCTCGATAGCTTTGTCCACATTGAATGGTGTGCAGACAAGTTAAATTGTTGGGAGAGAGTCATTCCATAGTAAAGGTGGCTAGAGTGGGCACCTTTGTGCCTGCTCAACAAAACTCTCTTAAGACCGTGCCTGGGCCAGCAGTGGGATTGATACGCGTAATGTCACAAGACTCTCTGCAGGTGGCGACAATGACCAATAACATCTCAATCCAGGAATACTACACAGAAAGTGTAAGCAATTTCATCGTTCTGCTTGTTGCGGGCCACGTGATATTTTGGGCAATTGGACCTGTGCTCGGAATTTGTGTGAAAAAAAACTGAAACGGACGGCACGAAGAAAATTAAACACATCCTTTGTAATGACATTCCGTCGATTCTCACCGGGAATAAAATGCATTGCGTAATGACAAAAAAAAGTCGAGTGAGTGGTAGAAGAGAGTGGTATATTCTCAACAGGTAACCCACAAACGTCGGGGCGCGTGGCATTCCAAAATCAATTTACAATTCCATTCAAAACTTGCACCCAAAAAAAAATTCCTGCCGGATTAGAGTTTAAAGCTAGTTTAAAGAGTTTTGTTCTAGTAAGCCACTTCATGAAAAAAGAAGAGTACATTGAAAAAAAAAACTAACATGCAAAAAATGACACACACGTACAGTCGGAGCAAAAAGCGCAATGCTTAAAAACCCCCTTAAGACAGGAACTTAGTGTAAGATTTCGGCGAAGATGTAAGTTTCCTTAATTTGGCAAGTGACCCCCTATAGCATACAGACACTTCGAAAAGATCTTTAGAAGTAAGCCGAAAGCGCGGCGAGTTTTCGGCAGAATTAGCACGCGGTTCTAAGCGGGTCGATTTAAGCGAGACGTGCTTTGAACCGCTCACAGAAACAGAATTGGCTTTTTGACTCGGCTGGTATGAATTTTCTAACAAACACAGGGGGCTTGCAATCACTGTCAGCATGGATCGTGATTGAACAAACCTCGCAATGCGTTTCTGATGTTGAATCTTTGGAAAATCGGACACGGTTTGTAATGTCTCGCAAATCCCGAATGAAATATGGCGAAACATTTTGTGTTTTTTAAATGAGTGGTCAAGTGCCCCCACCCCCCCACCCCCCATCAAGTGGAAAGGAGCATTCGTGATCACATGGGCGTTCATCAACAAATCAAAAGCAACGCTCGCACGGTCACCGCACTATCCTTTCTAAGTGTAATGGTGCGTTCAATTGGTTAAGGCTAACCCCCCCATGGGGTCACAAATGCATGCGTGCGACTGGTCATCCTACCCTTGCGCCATGCAGCAGAGTCAAAGGGACGTGACCTTTGTCCAAAGCAGATCACAATTGCACGTGTATGGGGTCAGCTTGAGAAACGCGTGCAGGTGCCACTACTGAACTGTCAACAAGCTAAATTGCTCAACATCGGCAGAAATACGGCTTTCGTGGATTTCTAAAGGATCAAATGAAAAGTGTCTTATGGGTCAATACATGAATGCAAAGCAGCGGAGAATGGAGATTTGCTGTATTGTGGGTGTTCTTATAGTACACTGGGCGACTGCATGCGCATTTGTTATGTGACTAGAGTAGCTTCCCGAAGAGCTAACTGCAGTCCTGCTCCTTACCTCAATAAAAATAATATTTAACCAAAATAGAGTAATTTTACAATTCACGTTGACTTTGATTATGCTGCTTCTTGTAATGTACACTCGGCCACTGCAATGTGTTGCACGTTAAGCACATAATACAGGGCTTTGCATTGATTTATTGTCCCATAAGTCAGCAAAGAGATGCTATGTGTTTGTACACATGTACACATGAGTGCACGTGTGTGTATGTACAGTATAAAAACAGGGCTGTTGAGGGAGATGGACGTGAGGCGTTGCCAGCAGTGGTTGAATTGTAGTAAGGGTGCTGCTGCAAGCAACGGGACGAAAAAAAATTCCACTCAATCCAAGCCCAGCTCAACAGGCCATGCCGGGGTAAATTGGGTGTGACAGACAGTTAACACACAGGGCCACGTGGCACGCTGGGATATTTACCGTGCGCGCTGGCGCGGCACGAGAAAAACCGCGTACGGGAGAGGGCACCGTGGCCCTGAGACGTGGCGCGCAAATTGGGCGGTACGCAAGAAGCAACTGTACAATGGAGCAAGACGAGTGGTTTAAAGTGAAACACCTCCTCCAGGTGCAGCCGAGATCCGGCCGCAGCTCGTAAAGTCGCAGTCACACGGGGGTTAGTTTCCGAGCAGATTCTCCCTCCTTCAGCTTGCACGAAACCGCGATTATTTACAATTTGTGCAAAAACAATTACAATAAACGTTAACCAAAGGCGATATTGAACCACGGGCCACACGGGACGGAATCGCGCACGGCCGAGTGAGCTGTGCCACGACCGTTGGGGGGAGGAATATGGCGATTTTGGCAAATGGCGGAAAATTTTGATGGAAGCGGCCGCTTCCCCGAGCCCCTTACAATTCAAAGCCACTGGTTACTGGTTGAGGTTGAGCGTAAACTTCCACTGCTGCGTGATGGAGGGGCTGCACACCTCCACGGTGAGACCACCCGCCTTGGCGTTCTTGCTGTCAAGGCACAGGTTTGTGCCCACGTGCCTCAGCTTGCTGTTGTTTTCTATTTGCTCCCATTTCTGCACAAGGGGTTTGAGAGGACGGTAAGAGGTGGAAGGGTTAGGGGGCGGAGACGGACGTGCGCAGCAGGTGCGGGTACGAGAGGGGCTGCTGAAGAAGTGCTGTGATTAAGTCTTCTCAGGCTGTTCTCTGACAAGGCGACGGCACCGCTCGCTGCGAGAGTTAAGCGGAAATTTCCGTCTCATCGTGTAACAACAAGAGCGCCACTGGAACATTGAGATGAATAAAGCATGGATCAACAATGTATTGATAGGAATACCAACGGAGGTGGCAACAGATTAACTGTTCAAGTTTACTATTGGGGCTAACTTCCTCGGCTATGATCAACACAATAACATTCGCACAAGCGGCTGTCTCATCACGTTTTGACAAGGCCATTTTGAATCACCCAGACAGCTCAATGACAGCTGGCCAACGGCGGGAGCACGCCTGGAATTCAGCAGTGGGCGTCAATGTGTTATGCCCTGGCTCGCCAGGAGATGGCAGTGCAGCAAAAATGGGAACGTTAAAAAGTATTTATAGATATTACTGGTAGGAACCTCCTGGTTACACCACCAGCCCACAGGGGATTATTGTGTCCGTCCGTCGTGCATCCAAAAATGGGAGGGGTGGGGGCTGGGTGGAGAGGGGAGGGTGGGGAGGGGAGGGAGGGGCTGGGTGGGGAGGGAGGGGCTGGGTGAGGAGGGGAGGGGCTGGGTGGGGAGGCTGGGGAGGGGCTGGGTGGGGAGGGTGGGGAGGGGAGGGGCTGGGTGGGGAGGGGCTGGGTGGGGAGGGGCTGGGTGGAGAGGGCTGGGTGGGGAGGGGAGGGGCTGGGTGGTGAGGGGCTGGGTGGGGAAGGCGGCCACGGCACACACGAGGGGGTGGGTGGCCACCAACCACGTCCGGCCATCTTCACGACATTTTCCCCTCCACGTGGAGAATCAACAACATGCGTTTGGAGTACGCGGCTGCTCTCAATCTCTACTTTATAAGCCGCCAATTCGTGGGTATTGTACTCCTTTTTTTTGAGAAACAGCTTTTTTTTCTCTCCACCATCCCAGGTCCCCACTCGGTCCCCACCCATCACGCCGGCTTGTGCCCGTCCTGACAGTCGGGCATGTTTGCGGAATACACCACGTGGTGCCGCCGTTGACCCTGCCCACTGACCGAGCAACCCAAACTTTCCTACCAGCTCCCTCCGCAGGAGAATGTGTTTTTCAACGGTTTACCGTAACTTGACTCCTATGTTTGTCGTGGTCAAATCTTGTCATCAAAAGTTAGTCTACTTCCTGTTGTCCAATGGAATTCCACATTTTGCACACGTACTCAGATCCGGTGACAATGCATGCCTGTATCAAAATCGGCATCAATTAATTAACTAGCTCTTTTAAAGCAATTAATATTTAGCATGGACGGCTGATTAATTAAATATTTATTTGGGTGGGTCAAAAACGCCGCGGTCCCTAAACTCTGGAATCGCCTCGCCCAAGAAGCAGGCGCCACGTGTCTCTTGTGATCAAGATGTCGTCCACTTCCCGTTGTCCAATCGAGTTATTTACTTTTTAGTGCACTTTAAAATAAAACCGTTGTTTTTAAAACACTTTTTTTTTAAGGAGTTTATTTATTTGACCAGGTAAGGCCCACTGAGCTATACAGCTCTTTTTCAGAAGTGACCTGGCTACCGCAAATGATGGCTCAACGAAGCGGCTTATCACGTGTGGACATTTATAGCAGCCAAATACTCTAAACGCATTTTTCTAAATGCGGAGGGAAAAACCGGAGGACCCGGAGAAAAATACAAGTGAATGCGGGGAGAACATGTATACTCCAAATATAAAGGCATCAGGGTTGGGATCGAACCCACGACCCCATGCATACCAAGTGTCATAGTTAACATCTCACTGTTTGGGATAGTGCTTTTTCCCCCTCCCACATGCAGACTCATTAATTGGCCGATGACACCCTCATATATAGAGGGCCACAGAGCTTGGGCATTTTTTGGTACCGAACTCATTCCGTGCCTGCCTTTCCCGCTTATCTGTGGTTCCTCCTCGCGCCTCTGAGACAAGGAGAGTGAGCGAAAACTGTGCCTGTTACAAGTTGAAATGATGATGATGGACAGCTAACGCCAGTGACTCACAGAGGCAGCTGTTGTTGTAAGGGTGTGTGGGGGTTGACCTCACCTGTCGGCTGTCATTCTCCCTGCAAACCTGGAGCTTGAGGAGGCCTCCAGGTATGCGGTCGGTCACCGTCAAGCACAGATCAATGTGCTTCAATGACTTCTCCTTGGTGAAGGCCCATTCCTGTTGCATGCGCACACACGTGCGCCCGCACACACACACAGCCCACAACGTCAAGCCACCTGGTCGCGATCAGGTGGTCTCCCGCCCCGTCTGCTCTCTACCCCAGGGGCCCTGTGGCAGGCCCTGGAGACTCACCTGGTTGCCGCCAGCGTTGTGGCACTCGTAGACCCCCACGGTGCCATCGGCGAAGTGACCCATGGTGTCCAGGCAGTTGGCTCCTTGCTGCAACGCCCCGAACGCCACGTCCTGCTTATCCGGAACCCTGGGGGGTCGGAGGGCAGCGACAAGACACAGCAGAGGCAACGCACGTCATCAGCTTGTCCACGCCCATCGCACTTCTCTCCTGGGTTCTGCTCCCACCGCTCAAACCGCTCCCTCGACGTTTCTACACAAGGCCTAGCTTTGTGCGAGACCCCTACGCCGTGGCATCCCACAAGGTTGCATCTGTGGCCCTCTTGCTCAACGCGATAAAAATTCTCCTCACACTCGGCAAAACCGTCCGCTTACACGAAGTGCAGGTTTGTAACAGATGCTCGCTCACAGCGATTACCCCGATAGCCTGCAAGGCTTCACGGGGAAATGTTTGTGCGTGTGTTTGTGTGTGCATGAGACCTGAGCTCAGGGTAGACATTATCCAGGTACCACTTGAAGGGCTTGCATTTCAGTTTCTCTCGGAGCTCCAACCGGCCCTGAATGCTTTAAACACACAGCAGCAGAGTTATTTGTTAATAACCTGGACGATAAACGTCGACGGCTCAGTTTAACCCTGCGAATCTACAGCTTCTAATGCAGGGATAGTGAAGCAAGGCTTCTCGCTGCCACCGCACAGCTCGAAAATAATCGTCAGCCGTAAATTTTATGCGAAAAAAATTATAATCTTGAGCCACGCGGGTAAACCGGTCACCTAAAACAACGGCGCAATGATGACAAATCACCCTAGATTTATGCACGTTCAAATAACCCGGAATGGTGACCACTAAATCGGGCGTGCGTGGAACATTATATTTTTGAACTGTCAGCAGCAGCGACCGCATGCTGGACCCACGTCACACGCCGCTGTCAGTCAATTAACCCCCCCCCGCGTTACGCCCCAGTTCAGAGAGAGTCGAAACATGGGGCTGTTTACTTTCCAAAGGAGACGCTCCTCGCAGAGGGCACCGCCGCGTAGTAGAAGTTCTTGTACTCGTCCATCCATACCTCGGCCGCTCTCCGCGTGTTCCTGCGACAAAAAAAAAGTTCCGCGTGCGACAGCGGAGGGGCGAGAGGATAGGGGATGAGGGGCCGCATCGCGCTCGGTCGCCCTTGTCATCAAAGCCACGAATGACAACTGGGTTTTGCTCGTTGCTTACGCGAAGCCCCTGTGTTTCATGGGGTGGCCGTCAACATGCCCCAGTTCCTCATCAGAGAGAGAGGGGGTAGAGGAGCGTGAAGAGGGCGAGCCGTGGAAACTCGGCAACAGCGTAAGAGACCAGTGGCACGGGTTTTGTCTCACCGGCGGCCCGCCAACGTTGCTCCGTTACATCACGCAGATGCGGAGCGCGTCAAGAGCTGCCGTGAGAAACGTATAAACAAAGATATGTAATAACCTACTTGCTGTACTACTTCTTACAGAACAAGGGAGAAAATGACCTCCCCACTACCCACCGATTGCCTGTCACAACCACGCCGGCACCGAGCATGAAGTTACATTTTCATTGCAAGAACGAAAGACTTTACGGTGCTGTCGTCGGCACGGACAACAAACACTCCCTTCCACTTCCATCGCTAACATTGCGCCAAAAGATGGAGATACGGTCTGGTCTCCAATAACGTGGTAGCTGAAGAACAGCTCGTTGTGGACAAATGTTACGCCGAGGCAGCCGTACAACCGCTTATTCCTACTCGCGCGACGCGTTATATCCAATTGCCATCCGCATTATAAAGACGTGTTTCCCTAACACATTCATCGCGTTGCATCCAATTCACGGTATGAAAACAACACGCGGCGTGAGAGCAGAACGGGACTGCACTTCTTCTCTTCTTTAGGGCGGTGTCATTGACGAACGCGTCCAACAGAGGGACGCGTCCGCCAGATGCTCAACAGGCACCGAGAACGTTTCAATGACAATGTCGTCATCATGGTACACGTGGATGCATTGCACACTTGGTGGGTGCGGGTGAATGCTTGTCCCCCCCCCTTCGTGCTAATTAACAGAATCATCTTCAGCAGAATCCTGTTTGGGGAAATTTGTCCTCATTTTTATTTCAGTGTTCAAGTGGAAACTAAAGTGCCCAAAAACCCATACATGATGGGATATCGCTCAGATATGCTGCCAGAGTCTATACCGTACTACTATCCGTCATCAGCAGAGGGCGGTATACCACTGGTAAGACCACCTCTTCTGTACTCACCTCACCTGGCATAGTCAATTAAGGACATCTCACTGTCTCCAGGTGATTTGCTTGTTAGTTTCGATGTAGTTCTTTGTTCACCAAAGTTCCTGTGCCCGATACCATTGCAATCATTGAAGATTTGGTCCAACAAGGATTGAATGCTGATGTACCAGCCCTGGCGAGACACTGCCTCACCAATACATACTTCACCTGGAATATAACATTCTACAAACAAACTGAAGGCACCCCAATGGGTTCTCCCTTATCTCCGGTTGTTGCCAATATTTTCACGGAAAAATTTGAGACGGACGCCATCCAGGCATCCACTCTACGCCCGTCCTTGTGGAAGAGGCACGTGGATGACACGTTTGTCATCTGGCCACATGGCCGACCGGCTCTGAACCAATTCCTCAATCACATCAATTCCATACACCCAGCCATCAAATTCACCATGAAGGTAGAAAAGGATGGCAAGCTACCTTTCTTGGATGTCCTACTCAAAAAGAGACCTACCTAAAACTTGACTCCCACCACCATCCATCTCAGAAGAATTCCCTCATCAAAACTCTACAGCTCAATGTATCTCCGACCATGAACACTCAAACACGTACACCAGGCTCTCAAGGTGAATGGATACTCTGACTACACAATCCGCAAAGCCAATCAAAACCATCACCTTGCCATACATAGCAGGGGCCACCAAAAATATTTCCAAGATCATGAACAAACACAAGATCCAGGTCCGATTTGACACAGTACATAAACTTTGTGATCTGATCCCATCTGTGAAGGACAAAATCCCTGACATGCAATATCCTGGCGTCTACAAACTAAGCTGTATCTGCGGCAGCAGTTACATTGGGCAAACTAAGCGACATGTCTCGGACCGTGTTCGTCAGCATAAGGCAGATTTGAAACACGGTAGGACCAATATTTCTGCCTTGGCTGATCATTATTTGAATGCGGCTGGCTCACATGAAATGTATTTCTCTAAGATGAAGGTACTTTGAAAACCCACTGGCTATCAACAAAGATTAGTTCATGAAGCCATCCATACATACCGACATAGACACAATTTCAACCCAGAAGATGGGTACAAACTCAGCAATCACTGGATGGACGTTATCAAACATTCAAAGTCATAACTGGCTGTAATGTTTCCCTTTAATTGGTGGAAGCCCACCACGAGTACCATCATTACCCACTACTACCATCACGTCTAGCAGCAACCTCCACCGTCAACAGTGTGAGTGTGTAAAGCAAGGTGCAATGATTACCTGGCAGCCCTCTAATTGGTGGAAACCCACCACCAGTGCCATCGTTGCCCACGACTACCATCACTTACATTAACATAAGCTGCCCCGTCCATGCTGCTGACACTTGGGCTACGTCCATTTTAAATCTTTATAAACATTTGGCCTTTAGAGGCTAACCCACCTTTTCCTGATGACGACCGCTTGTGTTGTGAGCAAAACGCCGTGGTTTTTTTAATTATTTTTATTCACTTTATTTTTATTTTTATTCTATCTGCGAGACTTTACCAAAATAACCAAAGAATAGTGTAGCAACATACAATGTTGTATGCTCACGTGTTTATTGTACTTCCCCCGCATCTCGGATTAGCACGGTTGGCTATGTACGGTGCGAAAGAAGTCCAACATACACAGATTCCCGCCTTCTCCAACCCGTATAGACCAGCATGGTGAAGTATGGCCAAATAACACTCACAACCCACACGGGCGTGGAGAGGGCCCTCATCTAGCAGCGAGTCTTTTTTGTTGTTGATGCAGTTGCTGAGCACAGGCCGCATTAGTCGCAGCACACTGGAGCCAGCCAAGGCTGTGGGTGTTCGTTACCTGGCGAACACGGTGCCACTGCCGCCGGGGAATGAGTAGGGGTGCTGCTTCCGGAAGACGTGGCCCACACGGCTGCACGGGATGATTTCCAGAGAACCACCGCACTGCCACACGCGGAACGAGATCTCTGCGCGTGGCGCGGAGCGTGCACGCACAGACACACACAGTGTGCACACACACGCATGCACACACACGCATGCACGTAAATATAGAGCACGCAATGACAGCCGCCACTCGCCGCTTAGTGACGGTGACGTCCCCGCAGCGCTCGTGCCAGGCTAATCTGAACTATTTAAACTAAACTATTTTTTTATTTCGCCAGGTAAGGCCCACTGAGCTATATAGATCGTTTTCAGAAGCGACCTGGCCATAAATGATAGCTCAACAAAGTCACTTATCAAGTGGAAATGTATCGCAGCCAAATGCTCTAAACTAGGTGCACTCATTAAGCGGGGGAGGCTTGCTGGCAGGTCACAGGACAGACCAAGGTGTTAACGGTTGACTTACTGAGAAGACTGCAGATGATATTCCAGTGGTCATTACAAACCAATGGGGGGGGGGATCTATAATTAGATCACCAAATAAGTAAATATCGTATTTTTTTTATTACTCGAACCCTTGGCGTAGTTCCTGTTGGCTAAATTTCCCCAGGCTGAGCACCCTCTCATACTCAGAGAAGGCACCTATCACAGGCGTGATGTGTGCTGCCAAGCCTAATAGAAATTGGTTCAATAATGGACCACTCCAACTGCCCACACATTTTCACATCTAACTCTTATCCACCACTCCATCTCTTTCTGTCCACCAATATCTTCTGAACGCGTTTACCCACCAAGGTTTTCGCCGCCCCAGATGTCCATCATCATGTCATACTTCCCGAGCTCCTCAAAGTAAGCCTTTTCCATCACGAACAGACCCCCAGCAATCATAGGGGTCCTGCAGATCACACAGACACACGCATACGAACACAAAGATCCCCCGTTTAGTGTTTTTTTATACTGTCGGAGCAAAGGCCTTGTAGCGGGTTGCATAAAACATGTGAAGAGGAATCTTCCCTAATTTTTCCCATGTAAATCAGTGCAGCTGAAGGGGCGAAATCACTTAACGTGTTTTATGCAACTGACCACCCATGCATAATGCATGGTAACTGAAATTTGAGGAGTGGAATGAGCTGTGCCGGCTTTGTGGTGAGCGGTGCACGGCAAGAGGTGTGTGGGGAGTGGTAGGTGGAGCGTACTGTATACAGTGCACAGTGCAGTCAGTTACAAGCGGTGAAGTGTATGGAATACTGTGCAGTGGGTAATGCTGCACGGTTATGTAGAGTGGGGTGTGTGGTACACAGTGTGTGGGACACAGTGTGTGGTGAGCGATAGTGTAGTGGTTGGCGCGTTGCAATACGAACCTGGCGACCTGGGTTCGATTCTCATTCACGGCCAACACCAGTGACGATTATCTGAACCGATCCCGGGCCTCCCCTAGGTCGACTCAGCCTCAAATGAGTTATTGGTACAGTGTGTAAACATCGCCACTGGGGAGGCAAAGGTGGCCAGGCATGGTGCCAGTCACCCGTCCCCTCGTGTGCCGTGCAGTCCTTCGTAGGTGCTCGCTAACAGCACTTGCCCCAACAGTCTGTTACAGGCTATACACGGGATCTTTGTCTCTGGTGCAGCTGCCGCTTGTACCGGATAGGGGAGGTCGGTGTTGTCTGCCGGGCTTTCCTCTGCTCCGGGGTCAGGTAGTCCCACTTGAACACCAGGTTCCACTCGAAGCCTGCCAATGCAACGTCGGCGGTAGTCACTGAATCAGAATCTGAATTTATACTGGAGGAATCCGATGAGCTACAAAGCTCTTTGTCACAGATGTCGAGTAGAGGTAGGTCAAAAAGTTACAACAAACAAAACAAAAGCACAATAGGAATGCAAAGTAAAGGAAAGGTAGGAAAATCACTTTAAAAATTCAACTAAACTTTTTATTTTACCAGGTAAAGAAAGCCCACTGAGCTATTAACTTATTTTTCAGAAGCGACCTGGCCACACATGATAGTTCAATGGAGTGGCTTATCACGTGGAAATTCATAGCAAGCCAAATATTCTAAAATGCTGCGGTGCCCATTTTTTTTGTCTGCATGCCAAACATAACCCAACAAGTAACCGGTGAGCCAAATGTGCCCAATCGTGCATGGTATGAAATTTATACGCTACATTTGAGCGTGCAGTGGTGGCGCATGGTAATTACGATTACAGTTGTGATGCAGAGTGTGTGCAAATGCAACCGCGTGCCAGGAGGCTGTGGAGCATGCGTTGTGGGGGAAACGGAGGCATCCGTGTGTGTACTCCATGCTAGCTGCTGCGACGGTGAATTAACATCTGTGAAAAATATCTTTCTAGGTCATCAGAATTCCGCCAGTATAAATATTCGGATTCATTAACATAATAATTTTATCTCACAATACGTGAATCGATTTGTGTGTGTAATAATCTTTGTGTATTTTTTCAAGTAATCGGTTCACGTGAACCTTCCAGCTACTAAAGGGCACTAATTTATAAACTCCAAAAAAACCCAAAAGCGATTCTTGAATCAAACCGTGACCCATGAAACGTAACAAAATGCAAGGTGTTCTCAAAACAGTGGGCTAACTCAGGGGTGCAGTGCCTCGGCAGATTCCTTTTCTTAACAAAACAAAAATCCACTATTTACATTTAGCCCCATTACCACCTGTAATGGGGGTGACTGCCCACCACTTGCAGAAACTAATCAGAAGCAAAGGGAGGACAATTTGAAAAATATGCAAATAGATTTTTATCCTTAACCCATAAGCGTTCCGTACCGCGAACGAAATACTTCCCAAGGGGGGAAACTGAACGCTGGAAAGAGTTCCACACTCCCTCGACGCCTGCCACGCGTGATCTCTCCTCCCCTCGTTCTCTGGCGAAACGACAGAGCCGGTGAAACGCGGGGCCCAGCCGCTCTGCGAGGGGGACCACACTAACGTCACCACCGCCACTTCTGCCATCACCGCTCACCTCCCTTGAGGTCAGCGGAGGCGCCCACGTACTGGAAGTTGTCCATGTTTATGACATCGATGATGGGACACACGACCCGGGTCCGGTCCTGTGCCGCCGCCGCCGCCGCGCATGCACATGGGTGAAAAACCTCCGTTAGATTTGCTTGACTCGCGGTTGTGTGTTTGAGTGTGTTGCGCATGTGCTGTCGGGTCTCATCTCGATTATCCGTGGGTTGATTGTCAGGCCCGCGGACTGACCGTGCTGTTCCATGCCTTGTAATGCGCCAGCTGGTTCCGATAATAGCTGCTCCTCACTCGTTAAGGGTCGGTGCTCACATGACCACAAACATGGCGGTAAGTTAATTTGTTATATAAATAATAAACACACCGCATTCTACGTCCCCTTTCTACATAGTAAGCAATATGTAAATTTCCATAGCCTAATTTCCATATGTTTTACTTTACCCGTTTTTTGGCGTATCTGGGACAGCCCTGCACCCCATTACACTGGGTAATTGATAGTTGACTACATTATTGTTGTTTCCTCCAACGTATCCCAGCTGTGTTATTGGAGCCGTGCCATCACGAGGTGAGCAAAAATCTCTCTCTAATTAGCAGAGCATAATGTCACGTTCGGAAATAGCCCACTGAAGTTGACATCGCCAAACTATTTCTGAGGGAGGCCCTCTGTCGCGTCAATAGGCCTCCCTCGCACAATGCCAGGTGAGATTCCTTCACGCTTTGCAAAGAATCGTCCACTCCATGTCGATCACCGAGAACACTCAAGAGTTGGGATCGGTCGATTTGAGTAAAAAAACAAAACTAAATGCTTTACATTATGGGGGTGCTTTATGCAGTTGTTGGTAATCTGGCCGAGGTTCAGCTCGCTACGCTGTCCCACTCCTCCTTGAACCCAAGGAGTGGTACAGCAGTAGCTTGCTTGAGCCCGTTCTGGTTCAGCGCCTCCAACATGGCCAAGTGAGCGTCCTAAGCCAGCTTTGTGTTTAATTTAAAAGCAGAGTTATGGCTCACACAAGCGAGTGCTGTTCTACTCAGGAAAAAAACATCTCACACACCTAACCACCGACCACAGATGACACATCGTCTGGGTTGCGAATGGATACGAAAGGGAACATTGCGGTAATTTTCCCCCGTGTCTTTGTTTAAAAAAAACATCTGCCTGGACCTTTTTTACATTTTTGCGTAAAAGGGCTAACGAATACCGCCAAATGTCAATGTTTGCCGATGATGGCACTCAGCCCGAGGTTGAGTCACGCACATGCACAAGGCTCCCTCCAAATTCACGGGTCAACAGCTGCTCCTCATGAAGCTGTGCCTGGTTTGTTTTGGGGTGTGGTTACAAGTTTGTAAGACGCTTTACTCTCGTGATTTCCAATCCGAGCCTTGATCTGGGAAAAAAAGATTCTCCACCAAGTACATGGTCGATTTTTGATGGAAACATCTGTGCGCAAAAATATATCTTCTGTTTTGTAACTCAAACATCTAAGAACGTCAACAGTAGTTGTGCTGTGGGGTGACTGCCGAATGCCTTGTGGAACGTGGAATTTCCACCGTTCGATCAGTGCTACTAGCAAACAAGCAACACTCCAATGCTAGTTTGAGCTGAAAGATGTTCCAAATTGCCTTTGACTTTAAGCCCAGGTCACCTCACTCATCCCGGGTGTCTTACCCGCCTTCAGTGCCGTGTGTTTGGTTAATTTAATGCGGCGTTTTACAGAGCACGAAACATGGCTGGTGTAATTATCGCTATAATTACTGTCAATTGAAAAACGATTACTTCTGTAATTGATGTCTTTGAGATGTCTCTCTTCATTTGCCTCAGTGTCCCCTGCTGATATATTATTAAAATATCCAGCTACTACCGTGACATTATAAAAGCAAGGCATATTGTCCAGGTTTCGCAATTAAATAGCTAAATGGCGAACGTGAAGTCATTTGATGGTCAAAATTTGCACATCATCATCGCCGTTATTTTTATGCCAGATTGAGCTCACTGAAAGTTCATCAATCGGTGACCTCTGACCAGAAAAACATAACATTTTTAGCATTTAATGGGGTTGAGGGCAGGTCGTATGGAGCCATCAACCATAGGTCCCATTCTAATTAGACAGAGAGACCTTTAAAGTGAGCTGATGCTCACTCGGATCGGCCAAGAAGCTTACGCGGTTGCAGGGCTGAGGTGGGCAGAGATTAAAACACGGCCCAATGTATAAGCAGATTAAGTCCCGCTGATGTGACATGGAGCTTCCGGAAGCCAGTTTAATATAGCCGGACTTAGTGACCCGCAGCTTTCATTTGCAACCTAAATATACATACGGACACACACAAGCACGCGAGCGGTGTATTCATAACAGACTAGGCGGCGCAGCAGTTGAGAGGTTTGATCGCAATCTGAAGGTTCAAATCCCGATGGGGGGCAGTCAGACTCAGTGTATCATTATCTTAGGTTCGACGCCGCTCTGTGGGAAGTCAACGGTGGAGGTTGAGCAGGTGAGTCGGCCTCCGTCAAAACGATTCTTTGGGATCCACACCAACTGATGAGTGTTGCCTTCTCAAGTGTGAGTAAGAAGGCGCTCTCTTAAGTGTTCATCTTTTGATCAATGTATGCAACTACGAACAGGACATGCTTCCCACAATCAAAAAAAGCCATTACGTAATAAACAATAAATGCCCAATCGGTCGATTCATTTAAGGTTGTGACGGGGGTTTTGCACAGTAAGTTGGCGACACCGTAAATTTTCGTACATATTAATTTCTCAAATGTCTGGAGTCGCCTGACCAAAGGAGTTGTTCAATAAACTTACCACAGTCGTTCTGGCTCAAGGGAGTTCAAATTTTCCGCACAAATTTGTAGCCATTCAATCGTTTGTGCATGAGCAGACACTTCAACAATTGGTAGGTGGCCAACACAACACCCGGCCACCTTTTGCTTTCCTGGTGGCGATGTTTACACACCGCCCCAAGGTACTAATTTGAGGCTGAGTCGACCTAGTGGAGGCTAAGGACTTGGTTTAGATAATTATCACTGGTGTTGGCCATGAGCGGGAATTTAACTCAGGTTTGTAGCACAGCACGCTAACTGCCGTGCCACCACTCTCCACCTGTACTTGCATGTACATAAGACAAATATCCCCCCGTATATCCTTAACACACTTTTGGGGAAAGTTCAGTTAGCGTGCACCTATGAAGGCCGGAACGGCACACGAGGTGGTGGTGGTGGTGTGTGGCCAGCACCATGCCCGGCCGCCTTTATCTCCCTAGTCCCAATGATTTTACACATCGCACCAGGTACTCAATTGGGGCTGAGTCAACCTAGGGGAGGCCCAGGACCAGTTCAGATAAACGTCACTGGTGTTGTCTGTGAGCGGGAATCTAACTCGGGTCGCTGGGTTCATAGCGCAGCGTGCTAATACCTACGCTACCGCTCCCCACACGTACGTACGCGCGTACACACACACACACAAACTGCACCTCGGCCACTCTCTCGAGCAGGGGCTCCAGCCAGTGTTCATTGCACTCGCAGTGACTGTCCAGGAAGGTGAGGATGGCGCTCTCCGCGATGTCGGCTCCCCGCACTCGCGATCGCATCAAACCTGGGTAAGCACACACACGCACACACGCACGCACGCACACCACACAAACAAAGATAAAGTTCTGTTAAGCGAGCACCTACGAAGACCGGCACGGCGCACGAGGTGGGTGGTGGCCAGCACCACGCCCGGCCACCTTTGTCCCCTAATGGCGATGTTTACACATCACACCAGGTACTCATTTGAGGCCGAGTCAAACTACGGGAGGCCCAGGACCGCCTTTGCCTCCCGAGTGCTGTTGTTTATGCACCACACCAGGTACTTATATTTGAGGTTGAGTCGACAATGGGAAGATCCGGTATCGTGTACAGACACACACACACGCGCGCACGAACATGTCACGCACACAAACACGTGAATGCAAAAACGCACGCACGTGTGCACGCCATGCGCATCACACGGGCACCCGCGCACACTACGTCCATTACACCCTGCGCACACCTGTCACATGCACACTCACTACACGCGTGCCACTTACGCCACACACACCACGCAAGCGCGTAGAGCTTACACGCCACACTCCCCATACACACGCAACAAAACACGCGCGCAACATAACGCGCATGCACGCACTCAACTACTCACCTAGGCCTGTCTCATACTGCATCACTAATACGGTGCTGTTAACACAGTGTCAGCAGTACCGACACATGAGTATACTGTACTCTGTTAGTACCCACTTGTAACTGGCGGGGTGAGTGCGAGTTGCCGTACTAGCCCTGTGTACGTATGCTGTATATGTACTGTGTTGAACTCCTTTTGTGACAGTACGTAGCCAACTGTGCTAAACTGGAGGCGCGTTGTGATTCACAGCGCGGTGTGATGGGATTACGCGCACGGTGCATCGCAATGTCAACGCCTTGTGGTGCGAACACGACGATCCTCTGCCGGAAGGTCCGTGGGAATTCAGCAAGCCTCTTCGGGAATGTTTTTTTTTATTGCGGGGTTCGGAAAGGCGATTCGTGAGAATGCCAGAATTCTCCTGCTGTGTCAGGAAGGGTTTTGTTCAGTTTTTTTTTGTTCCACGTGATTTGGCTGCGATGATGACCCACCACCACCACCCCAGTTCACCCAAGTCAATCTTGCCTCTCTTCGATGCCACCACGAGAGATATTCACACACCTCGTGATTCCGCTCAATGGCAATTGTCCGATTTGCTTCAAGCGGCATGTCGTGCATTCTCTCTATGTGGATGTCCCTCTCTGTTTGTGGGTTGTCCCTCTGTGTGTGTCTCTCTGTGTGTCTCTCTCTCTCCATGTGTATTTCTTGCTCTTGCGTGTTTTTGTTCCTGTTGCCTGGCTCTCTGACATTGACATACTAATCTTCTTATTGGCAGAACCCCCGGTTGCTGGAGCCATCTCACATTGACATGCTAATCTCTTACATTTACGTACAAATTCCTTCTCTAGCTCCGCCCACTTACCCTTGGGTTGGGCCCACCAAAAGCCTATATAACCTCTTGTTGCAGCAGCTCTTTCTCCTACGTCAGCAGTCCTCCTGCTGTGTTTGTTTCACACCTGATGACGGTTGTTTGTGTTGCGATCGAAACGTCGTGATTTAATTTATTTTATATTTTATACCTACATGACTTTACCGAAAGAACCACAGCATATCATCCCTCTTATTCAATTGAGATAACTCAAAACGCTCATCCTTACTGATGTTGCTGGCTGGTATCTTAGCGCTTTTGAGGGTTGCAGCGATTTCAGATCTTGTCACGACTGCAGCGATGTGTCCCAAACCATGAAGAGCTACATCGACCAGGCAAATAAGGTCATCCACTGGTATGCACTGTTCACCTTTTGGTGTTCTCTGGTCTGACACTGGTGAGACTAGGTCATAAAGAAATCTGTATCTAGCGTAGGCCAATCAGTTTCAAAGACAATGCATCAAATATTATCAGAGCATGTTTGTTTGCATGTTCACCACAAGTACTGTGTGTGGTTAATGCAGACTTCACTCCTTGCAAAAGGTTGCTATTTGGTTTTTGAACATCTTAACACCTTTTTTTATTTAAAGCTTTCGTGACTGCAGGAATTCATAATCTTGGTTCTTTCGGTAAAGTCACGTAGAAGGGAAACAATAAAATAATAAAAATATAAAACAAATTCTCACGACGTTTCGACTGCAACACAAGCAATCATCATCAGGTGTGAAACCCCCCCTCCTCTTTTCCGAACATAGATGGACTCGTCCATCTGAACAAACTGTCAAATCGCTCTCCGTGGTGCTAACGTTAAGAAAAAAAGCCACTTTTTTCAAATTTTCTTGCTGTGGTTTTCACACCTGATGATGATTGCTTGTGTTGCAGTCGAAACGTCGTTAGAATTGTATTGTTTTACATTTTAATTATGTTGTTTCCCTTCTACGTGACTTTACCGAAAGAACCAAGAACATCTTAACACCTGTTTTATTGCCAGAAAGGGTAACACCTATTATTATTATTTACCAAACACGACAAAGGTTGACTACACATCCCAAACCGCAGTCCCAACTTCCCAACAAAGACAGGAAACCTTCAGAGGAGGAGAGGCGGTGGTGTAAGGCCAAAAGAGTTGACGACTCATTTGGACCAATCGGTCCAATGTCCAAAAAGTGATTACCTCCTTTTCAACATATGCCTGGATGAATAAAAAGGCCTTTTAAATAATTATATGACGGGAGTTGTTTTTTTTTCGGATGTGGAGTGGCAGGGGTATTCCAGACCGCAAGGGCTGCGCATGAGAAAGTGGCATCTTCTCCAACGGCCGTTGGCGAGGTGCGACGGCCTCAACGGCACCGGCCAAGATGAACTCTTGACCTTGTTCTTCGTCCCTGGGAGGTAGAGAGTGGCTCAACGCGCTGGGTGTTTGACGTTAGGAGGCACTGACCTTCACGCTTCTCGTTCCTTATCGTCTTCACCTTTTCGATTTTTGCCAACAGCTTCCCATCTTCCGCTGAAACAAAAGCGCAAACACGGCAATGCAATCGCGCAATTGATTGTCGGCACACACACACGCACGTGACAACACACAATGACACACCACTCACACTTAATCAATCACAAAGACAAAGAACTCCCGTATACACACATACTTACCCGCACATACGTACACAATAATCTAGAGCAAGTGCTATTAGCGAGCACCTATGAAGGACAGCACAGTGCACGAGGAGGTGGTGTGGCTGACCTCAGGCATTAATTTCAGGTTGAGTATATCTAGAGGAGGCCCAGAACCGAGTGCAGATAGCCACCACTGATGATAGCCATTGTCAAGAATCGAACTTGGGCCTTAAGGTTTGGAGCACAAGGCGCCAACCACCACACAACCGCTACCCACACACAGCACATACACGATTAAATGCCACTCACACACATGTACTCAAACTGGCACACACATACTAGATGCACAAATCCCAACAAAGACAAAGATTCCCGTATAGCCTTGAGAGACTATTGGGGCAGGTGCTGTTAGCGAGCACCTATGATGGCTGGAACAGGACACGAGGGGGGTGGAGTAGCCAACACCACGCCCGGCCGCCTTTGTCTCCCAATTGGCGATGTTTAGACATTGCACCAGGTACTCATTTGAGTTTGAATCGACCTCGGGGAGGCCCAGGACCGGTTCAGATAATCGTCAGATAATTGTGGTGTTGGCCGTGAGCCGGAATCGAACTCTGTTCACCGGGTTTGGAGCGCAGTGCCCTAACCACTGCGCCACCGCTCCCCAATACACACACGTTATTTACATTTGCATGCTCGTCGCTGATTAAATCATCCATAAAAACTGTGTGCATGTGTGTGTGGCAGATCAGAACAGCTATTACCAGCCAGCTGGTGTGAAGAAAAACATTATGAGAACAGTTGGGTGCTAAATCGTTGTGAAAATTTAACGGCAGCTAAATGTTGATAAAGCATGGACACTGGCAGAGAGGGCTTAGGCCTAAGAAGCCGATAGAAATTAAAACTCTTCTCCATGTTTTGTTTGGTTGTTCGTATGTAGGTTGAACTTCTTTCGCACCGTAAGTAGCCAACCATGCAAATCAGAGGTTTAGAGGTAAAACAATATACTAAACACGAAAAAGCAGTTTTAATTATGTGCGTGGTTTCACATCCTGGACACTGATGCTCTATCAGTAATCCTGCTCCACACATAGCAGACTAGAGAGCCTGGCAGGGTGATATGGCCTTACGGTAGTGTGTTCTCTTTCTGATGCAGAATTTCTCAATTCTAACTAAACTGCAAAACTAAAGTTATTATATGACCAGGTAAGGCCCACTGAGCTCTATAGCTCTTTTTCATAAGCCACCTGGCCACAATTGATAGCTCAACGAAGTGGCTTAACATGTGGGAAAATTCTAGTGGCCAAATACTCTAAACGCGTGTCTCTAAATGTGGAGGGAAAAACCGAAAGACCCTGAAAAAAATCCGCACGACCACGGGGAGGGAGAGAGAGACATGCAAACTCCAAATAAACAGCAGGCACCAGAGTCGGGATCGAACGCACGACCTCCTGCATACCACGCATGGTAGTTAACATCTCGCCACCATGCCCCCTACTCTCTTAATCAGATCTCAGCAAGCAATAGTTTAGCCTGGTTAGTTCTTGAATGGGTGGGCACCAGGTGTTGCCACTTGTTGTCGGCATGTGCCCGTGAGAGGCAGCCAAGAGAAGGGAGTGTTAAGTGTCATTCTTTCATATGTGTAGAGCTTTTCCTTTTTTCTCCCATAAGCCTAACATGAATTCACGCTGTCGAGCACACATCCGAATGCAGAACCCTCAGTCTATAGACCCAGTTAGGACTGTCAACCCGAATTTCTGAATGTTAATACAAAATAATTCCAATGGACGGTGGACAGCCGATATTCAAAAGTAGATGGCATGATTATTGTATAATGGGACCTTCTTTGCCAGTACCAAAATATGAGAATAGGTTTTCCCCTTTTTTCTGGCAACAAAACAGGTGTGTTGAGATGCTAAAACACCAAACTGAAACTTTTTACAAGGAATCATGTCTGCATTAACCACAATATTTGTGGTCCGAATGCAAAAAAAACATTCTGTTGCCAGAAAAAAGGGGAAAACCTATTCTCAGGATTATTGTAATTGGTATTATTGCTACACCCACAGATGGCAAATCACTAGCAGCCATAATGCCAGAACTGGATCGCTGCCCCAACCCTCAGTCACAAAGTCATTCTGACATTCCGAAAGTTACACATGCCGTGGGCCCTGTGGTTTGATGACGCTTGGTGCTAATTTTATGAACAAAGTGGCTGCCCTAATTCAAGTGTAGAACAATCACAGCGTTACCAGCGCCACACTTTCACAAGGCCATTGCAAGTCCCCCCCGAGTCACAAGGCTGGCTCGCCAACTGCCATGACTCAACAGTTGTGAAAATGTAAAACACAAAATCTAATTAGAGTCCCCCCCAAATGTGAGCTGACCATCCAACCATGTAAAGGAGACGTAGGGTTCACAGAAAAAAAGATGTATATATTTTAAAACCTCTCCATCGCATGTCAAAACGTTGGCATCAGATGTGCCTGCATCGGCCTCATTTAGCGACGGCGTCCATGGGAGTTTTGTGCCGGCCGGGAATCTGCTGCTCTGACAGTCGCCCCCCCCCACACCCGACAACGGTGCAAATTTAGCCTCGTTCAGCCACAGTCTTCAACGTACAGGGTGAAAGAAAAACATGTTTTACTCTCAAGAGTATTTAATCAATGAATCACCACCACTTAGCCACGCCATAAAGATAGGTAGGTCCTGTCATCCCTATGAGTAAGGCTTCAACCACTTCACCTACCATATATGGGTGAGTCCTATGACCAACGAGAGTTCACCACTGCACCAACAACTCCTATGTCTGTCCCATTACATACTATCGACGTGACCTTCAATCGGTCAGACTTCGCCTCTCTATCCGCACCTACAAATAGTAGTTGGCTATGTGCGGTGTGAAAGAAGTTCAAGCACATACGAATATTTCTTAGGACATCTGATTAGTGTGATTTCAACGATCTATCCACAGTGCATGAGTTGGTTAAATTATTTAATATCAGTAGGAATTCACTGATTCAGCCACAACACCTAAGCTCTGTCCCCGTAACATCCAATGAGTGAGTCTCAGAGCAACCACATGTAACTCTGCCATGCACCAAGCCTGACACAGACCACGTGGTGAGATTCAACGCCACTCAGCGGTGGTGGTGAACGACGGTTGTGTCGTATTGTTAATTCAGCCACGTGTTGTTCCGTCACCAAGTGGCTCATGAGATGCACCCACCGTTTGTTACCGGTGGCAAAATGGATGCATTGTCGGCAAACCACATCAACGCCTGACCCATTCACGAGCTAAGAATGGCTACTGTCCCCAGTGGCAGTGGGGACCACTCGAATGTGATCACGTGTATCAATAATTATTTGCCAACAATTGAACCTTATGGCGGGACCCCGGGGTCCCGAATAAACGGAAGTTAAAATCGCAATGTATTTATTTCTTTTTGGGGACCCCGTCCCAACGTGCACGTAAATGCCGCGACCCACCTAGCGTGGATCATTCTGTTGTCATGTCGTCCAAGCACAGCGAGGATGGTTGCGCATAAGAGCTGAACAAGCAAATGCACTCCATGCTCGGGTATGGGCAGGATCACAAGTCTTATCCAAAGCTGCTCAAACTGCCTATACGACTTAAGTTATTTATTTGTCATAACGGTATGCATAATAATACAGTGAAACTGCTCTCTCTCTTATCTTCAGTATTATTTGTGACCTACCAATGTCTGCAGCCAGGATCAATCGATGACAATCCTATTACCTGCAGATATTTAACAGGCGAGATGCGTTGCACCGTTAATTCCTCCTGTTTGATAATACTTCTCTTGTCCGTATGCATCTGTGCAGATAGGTTTTGTTTTGCGGTTAAGCCATAGTCCCCACAAACCGCCTGTATCAATGTGGATAAGAGGAGCGGCGACTCACTACTGTGTAGAGTAACATTGGTATAAACGCTTGTTACAATATGAACAGCGTATTGAAAACGCGTACTATTTTATGATCTGTTTACAAAGTCTGTTGACAAATACACACTTGAGAAACACGATGATTGACAGAGGGGTGTAACATTTTTTTTCGATAGTGTATTTAAATAGAGGTACTGCAGGTAAGTAGTTTTCAGTTTTAAAGGCATAGTTTAAGGAGACAACACTTGCGAAAGCCGGGTGCTTATGGGACCCCAGGGTCACGCCATAAGGGTGATTTCACCTCCTACACATCTGTCAAACGCTATCTCCTCCGTATTTTACGGTAATTATTTATCTACCCATGACAGCATAGTCGAGTCTCAATATTCGATTGAGGACAATCACCACTGCGATTGCGTAGGGCAGTGCGCTAACTACTGTGCCACCACTCTAAAGACAAAGAACCCCCCTATAGCCGTAAGAGACTGTTGGGGAAAGTGCTGTTAGCGAGCACCTATGAAGGCAAGCACGGCACACGAGGGGGTGGGTGGTCAGCATCACGCCCGGCCGCCTTCGTCTCCCCAGTGGCAATGTTACACATTGCACCAGGTATCAATTTAAGGCTTAGTCGACCTAGGGGAGGCCCAGGACCGGTTCAGGTATTCATCACCAATGTTGGCCGTGAGCGGGAATCGAACTCGGATCACCGAGTTCATAGCGCAGCGCGCTAACCGTTAAACTACCGCTCCCCACTCCAAAGACATGTGCACACACACAAATAATAGCAGCCATTCACCACTAAGTGGCAGTAAAATCATCATAATGCAAATACTAGGCTTTTTTTCTTCATATGGAGACCGCGTTGCTTGCTGACTGTAGGTCATGGGATAAAAAGGCCTTATGAGTAGAGAGAGAGTGGGTCACTGATGGGAGGTCACAAGACAGACCAAGCTATTGTGCGTTTGGAAGCCAAGCCGACTGGTTATTATTCTCAATGAGCTAAATAAAGCCCCCCCCCCCCCCCCCGCACGACACATGAATGGAGAAAGATGTTCCTCATTGCGTCACGACTGTGTTGGGTCACGTGCTGTTGGGGGGGGGGGGGGGTTACCTGACCGAGGACAGCACACAAGGTGACGGCGGAATCATCACTACGCACACCTGGCCATCTTCCTGTCTCCTTCCTTGCCAATGTTGACAGCACCAAGTGCAACACGTGCTCATTACAGACCGAGTCGCGTTTAAGAGAGCCGAGGGTTTCTTGCTAAAGCACGTGACGATTAATAAATTAAGCAATTAAAACTCATTGTTCGGTTCGCGATTCACGCACGCGGCCTTGTGCGTGTAAGGATGAATCACTTACAATTTACGTGGAACATCTGTAAATTGATCATGTAAAGTTTAACACGTAGGCTATCGCGACCAATATCATCCCTAATAGAGGTTTTTGGGTTAGAGCACGTAAATATATAAATGTGTTGTTAAAACCCGCCACAGCCAACTTGTAAGGGTTGTCACGTAATGACACCCTTACTAGTTGGCTGTGTCGGGTGGTGGCGGGTTTAAACGACACATTTATACATTTACGCGATCTAACCCAAAAACCTCTATTATGGATAAATAATGTAAAATTAGAGTTCTAGAGTGAATGGGACTGTACACGCGAGATGAAAGAAACGAGATACAACACGAACGAGGCGGTGAAAACATGAAAGACGATCTCGCCTCCGAATCCGAGCCCCCCATGTCATGATAATCCATGGAGCTGCCGGAATAGTTTGTTTATCATGCACCACGTCTTTGTCAATGGTGTTTTGCACACGGCCAGGAATTAAACCCAGTCAAGTGCAAACAAAACAAAGACACACACATTCTGCATGCACACAACAACACATATACGCACACACACCCAGACAAGCTTTACATACAATCACCAGACACAATCATAGCATACACACAAAGACAAAGAAGCTCCATCTTATAGCCTTAACGGACTTTTGGGGCAAGTGCTATTAGCGAGCACCTACGAAGGACTGCACGGCACATGAGCGGGCAGGTGACCAGCACCATGCCCGGCCACCTTCGTCTCCCCAGTGGCAATGTTTACACACTGCACCAGGTACTCATTTGAGGCTGAGTCGACCTAGGGGAGGCGCAGGACCGGTTCAGATAATCGTCACTGATGTTGCCCGGGAGCAGGAATCGAACTTGGGTCCCCGGGTTCGTAGTGCAGTGCTCTAACAGCGCTGCACTACGAACCCGGGGACATACAAAACAAAGACCTCCATATAGCCTACACACATACTAAAAACACTAAACACACACCAACACAGACAGATGATAAGCATACGCACACACACAATAACCACACAGACAAAACACTAGCATGAAATACACATGCACAAAACACACACACACAGAACAGCCTACACGCTACGAAACGACCACACAACGCACACGAAAGCACGCAAACGCACAAATACAGACTTGGGACCCAATTCACATGTTTGCAAATGTTCTCCTTTCATCCGAAGCGCGCCAACGATGGCGCAAGCCGCCAAGGAGGACAAGATATTTCTGGGCCACTTTGCCAAGAGTGTCGGGGTGCTTGGGGCCAGGTGGGAACAAGGGGAGCAGTGAAACTCGTGCCAGACGGCTGGCTACTCACGGTCATCGCTGTAGTCGTCCACAAGGATGATCTCGCGGATGAGGTGTGCGGGACTCTTGTTGAGGACACTGGAGGCATCGTGGGGGAAGAGAAGACGGGACCAGGCAAGGGTGAGTCGATTAAACTAAACTAAACTATTTTGTATTTTACCAGGTAAGGCCCCGCTGGGCTATGTAAGCTCTTTTTTTCAGAAGCGACCTGGCTATCAGAAATGAAAGCTCAACAAAAGTGGCTTATCATCTCGATTCATTGAAGCTCCGTCGTCCCGACAGGTCTGTTCCTTTCACCTGAAGACGGCCGCTTACGTTGTGGCCGAAACGTCGTGAGAATTTTATTGTGTTATTTTATTATTTTATTCTCATTCTACGTGACTTTACCGAAAGAACCAAAGAAGATGGCTTATCATCGTGTGGAGATTTATATTCCCCAAAATATTCTGAACGCACACTGATTATAAAGGAGGGGGAAAAAAACCGGAAGAACCCGGAGAAAAATCCATGCAACTACAGGGAGAACTTGAAAACTCCAAATATACAGGCATCAAGGTTGGAATCGAACCGACGACCTCCTCCATACCAGGCGAGATAAGCAGGATGGGAGGTGGGCTGGGATAAAGCTCAAAACCATGGCCATGATGCAAAACACCGGTGCCAAGAACTTTTTGGCTAGTCATCGAACAAAGATGGGCTTCTGCGGCCGTCTGGATCGTTCATCTTTCCGACATTAGGAAGCCGCTTGAGCTATGCACTTGTAAATCTCGATTGAAAACTAATTTCGTTAGAAATTAGATTTTGTGTTAAGTTTGTTGTCATTCCCACGCACCTCCGATTAGCACGGTTGGCTCCGTACGGTGCGAAAGAAGTTTAACTTGCATGCATACATCCAATTGCCAGAGCTGCTGAGCTCCAAATGTGAGGTTTATTTCCTGAAATCACCATTATCCCATAGCCATATGTCATAAGATCACCACCCCTCTGGGGTGGGTAAAATGGGTACAACAACACACTGGAAAATAAACATGATAAGTCTGCGTTTTCAATCAGACTCGTTAACTGCGTCTCTTGCTCGTCGGTCACGCGTCCGTCTTGGTGGGGAGTTTCAGCCATTGGCACGCTTAAAGATTTTCGTCCACTTATAGTAATCATTGATGGGTAAAAAAAAAATTCCATCGCTAATTTCGTAAATACATTTCGTAAATACCACAAGCCGAGGAGGTGAGCTCACGTGGGCGAGTGAGTCAGCGAGCAGGCAGGCGAGCGAGCAAGTGAGTGAGCAAACGGGCGAGTGGTGTCAGTACCTGACGACGGTACGGAGCAGGGTGGAGCGCGCCTCGTTGTGGAAGGTGATGATGACGCTGGTGGCCGGCAGGCTCGGGCCCCAAGTTTGGTACCGACAACTACAGGGAGAACGACGACAACAGACACACACACAAATACACGCAAGCGCACGCGGTGATCAGGTGGGACAGGGGGCTCGTACCGGGTCCCCCTAATGCAGCTGTGTTTGGGGTCATTTCCAAGCGTAATTGTGTCTGTAATTACACGCGCAATTTCAGTTAACAATGCTACTGTGTTTGTAATTATAAGTGACCCCAGGTCTGGCCACCACCACAGAGGTTCTGGGTTTGAATGCAGGTTCCAGCTACTTGTGGTTAAACGACATTCTTAAGTGAGCATTTTGATTGTTTCGTACCAGTTACCTATTGCTGAACAAGATTAAATCCACGATGTTAAATTTGTCTTTCCACACAAATGTGGCTTCTTACAGCTGAGGATATTACACATTTTGGTTTAATCAGCGTGTGATGTACACTCTTTGCAGGGCATGTAAATGATGTGACCTGAACGCTGATAAAGTAGCCTAATGAAGTGACGTCAGGACAAACTCATTCTGTGATAACGTCTTCCAGGGCCGTTCTCTGACACAGGATGGGTCGCTTCACACTGCGAGAGCTGCAAATGTAAAAATATTTATCTGGACATGCCACTGATTATTTGGAAACGGCAAATAAACCACTATCTTCCTTGATGTGGTGTAAAAATCACTACCGCACTTGTGCCAGACGAGGTAGCTCGTTAAGGCCACAAGAATTGACGAAGGCTCGGTGGAAGTAGATTCAAGGGGACAGACCCATGTATTATGGTTAATGAGCCAGGGTGGCGAGAAGATGGACCACCCACACTTCCCACGACGATTTACGTGTTTAATGTTCTGTACAGTGTTTTGAATGGGGCACACACCTCAGATACCCGAGTGTCACACATACGAACACGCGCACGCATGCGCGTGCATGCAAGCACACGCATACACAAAAAGACATAACGTGCCACCCCGCAGAGTCAACGCAAACTGTCAGGGCAAGTGGTGTTGGAAGTTTGTAATTAATTAGTTATTGTGTACTTAGGTTAAGGCAAAGCACAGCGCATGACGACGTGGTGGTGGTGTGGACAGCACCACACCAAGCCACCTTTGTCTCCCCAGTGCTAACATTCAGACCACACACCAGGCACGATCAACGCGAAGGCCCACTGGAAAAACACACATCCATATACAAGCGTGGCAAGATGTTAACTACCACGCCTGGTATGCAGTAGGTCGTGGGTTCGATCCAGACCCGGACGCCTGTAAAATTGGAGTTTGCATGTTCACCCCATGGTTGCGTGGATTTTTCTCCGGGTTCTCCCGTTTTTTTCCCTCCACATTTATAAACACGCATTTAAGAGTATTTGACTGCTAAAAAGTTCTACGTGATGAGAAGCCACTTCGCTGGGCTATCATTTGTAATAGCCAGGTCTGAAAAAAAAGCTACATAGCTCAGTGGACCTTACCTGGTAAAATAAAAATTGTTTAGATTGTGATACCGGTTGGTATGTAAACAAATACAAGCTCAAGGGTGGACATGGAATGATCTACCCATTGCTGTCTGCTCATGCACACAACACACACATCGAATCGCGCATGTGTGCAAGCAGAGGCCATTCACGGTGTTTTGTAAACCACACGCAAATGTTGCCTTCTAATAAACGATGCCAATTATACTGAACCAGTGAGAATCCAAATAAAACACAAACTAATCTGATTGTGGCCCTGAACTGCGTCAGTTCACTCGTTCCTAGCCTATTAAACGCCACAGGCTCTCACCGTAATCTTGGCTCGATGCAAAAAAAGTGTTAACCCTCACCCATTACAACTCTAATACCCGTGCCGTTTTGTGCTCGGCCACTTGAGGTGTTGGGGCCATGGGGCTCTGTGCTCAGCAACTGCGTTTAAATAAAAATAAACCCGAGCCAGGGTGTCTACAGTAGTAAAAAAAAAAAAATTACGTTCTCCTATACGTCAACATCAATAATCAATTACAGATGTTTTTGGCCATCAACTCAGTCCAATAAATCACAATCGGACTAACCCCCCACCACAGTGGTTCTTCTCATTCATGAGAAACGTGACGTTTCAGCTTAACCGTGCCGGTCAGCGGACCGTGGCTAACATGCATGGGATAGGATTTACATGTGAATGAAGAGGACCAGCCTGACAAGGAAATCCGGAACTGGATGGGGAACATGAATTGGAGTCTATCAGAGTAAAACCAAGAAGCTCGGTGACTCTATCCCCACCCAGCGAAATGCTCTCGGTAAGGTCAGCTTGTAACTTGTTCATGAGTAGGTTGGAAAGGTGGCACAGTGGCCAGCGCATTGCACTCTGAATCAGACGACCCATTCACGGCTAACATCAGTGGTGAGTGACACCTGAACTTATTCTGGGCATCCCTTCATCAACCCGCACTGACCATTGTATGGTCAAACACCCTCCCCCCCCCCCCCCCTATCCATTAGTGGATTGACAAATGGCTGCATATCAATAAAAAATATATTCAAATGTACTATTACTATTTTTATAAAGATTAAACATATAGGGAAATTCACGATGGTACAATTTGTTTGCTGTAAATGTGTATGTTATCACCGGTTCTCTGTCAAGTCACGGGGCAACGAAGCATTGTTCCAGGAATGGTGGCAGATAACACCAAAAAGTTGAATTTTGCCTCTCAGATAACCCTGAACGGGCACAGCTCCACGTAACTCGTGTTAGTTCTCTAACATGGGTTACGAGCTTTGTTAATTAAAAAAACACAGGCTTTAGCATCACTGCAGTGGCATTAACATGCGATGGAATGATGCCACAGTGACATCGCTCTGGTGCGGTAACAGGTGTGTGCTCAAACATGAGGGACCGAACGATATTCCCCCGTTCCTGATGACGACCGCTTGTGTTGTGATCGAAACGTCGTGATATTTTTTTTATTCACTTTATTTCATTTTTATATTTTATTGTTATTATTTTTTTATATCTACGTGACTCGACCGAAAAAACCACAGAATATTATATTCCTGGGACCCCATCGTTATTATTTTTACCAACACTTATTTTACGCAGGATGGCCTCATCGAGTCATTGTAGGTCGGGCCCTGCTAACGTTTTGCGGTGATTGCTGTGCATATTCCAAATGAGTAATTTGCGAGTCATTTTTTAGTCAACTTTGGCAAACATAGACCATGACGCCAGCACACGATGAGCCTACTCTTGTGAATTATGTCATGGGATCTTTAACATCCACTGTGAAGCAGAGGGTACGGGATTTGTTTTTTATCGCTAACGCCATCATGCCATGATGACAATATCAGTGTTAAGCAAGTCGACTTCTTCATTACCGACACTTCAAACTCGTCAGAATCAGAATCTTTATTTAGATTTGCAGGAGGAATGAGCTATGAAGCTCTTTTTCACGGAAGTCCAGTCATGGGTGGGTCAGCAAACTTGCGTCGCACAGCCCAGAATACACAGATCCCAGGAAAACATCTACAAAAGATTGATTTTTTGGGTTGCAACTTAATATTGCGACTTTTCTGTGCCATCGTGAATGGCCAGCCACACACTGCACACGCCTCCGTGACCCCGCGGGAATATGCCAAATGTAGAAAATTGCTGCGGATGGTTATGTAGAGAACGGTACAACGAGTGGGCATCAGAGCGTTGCGCTGAGAGCGGCTGTCATTTGACTGATGACATTATTGCCCAGGCAGAACCCACAAAACGCCTACACTGGATTTTAACCCAATCTAAATATCATGGGCATCTGAAACCCAGAATCTTATCGACGCTGCTCAAGTGTTTCCGACACGGCCAAAGCAGACTCCGCCTTCGAAGCCAAACCTCCGTGCTTACGTGAGCACTCGATCGGGTTACGCTAAACTAAAGGGCAATACAAACAGATCGAGGGGTGAGATGAGGAGCATCCTGCACAGAAGCCGCTTGCACTTCTTGCGTAATGCAGGATGCTCGTGCGGCGACGAGTGCAAGCTGTGCCACCACTCCACGCGGGGAGCCGCGTTACGCAACCCCCTCCCCCTCCTGGGCCACCTGTGGGTTACATCTCACGAGGTGTCAGCTGCTCGCAGCACAGCGCTCCAACGCCCACTCGTCTCTCCCCCACTCGTCTCTCCCCACCTCTCAGCACTCCGCCTCACAGCAGCCTCCGCAAGGGGCGTAAGCAGGGAGGGGAGGGGTAAAGTTTAGATGCCATGGTGGCAAAATGTTAACTACCTCACCAGGTATACGTTTAGAATAAACATGGGTTTAGAGTATTTGGCTGCAATACATTTCCATGTGATAAGCCACTTCATTTGTGGCGTTCATTTGTGGCAAGGTCACTTCTGAAAAAGAGCTATATGGCAGCTCAGTTGGCCTCATCTGATAAAAAATCAATAATAGTTGATAGTTTTTTTTATAGTTGATCGTTTTAATTACCCTTCACAGGTGACTTTTGGTACTCGGAGTCCTCTGCTGCCCGGTGGGATAAGTGGGACAAGCGGCCCGCTCCCATTCGCGAGCCAATCACAGCTTAGGGATGTGGCGATGAAAAGCTGCCACACAGCACCATGATGTCAAATTGCATTGTAAATTTTTTTTTATCATAATTCGTTCTATATATGTTGAACTTCTTTCGCACCCGTACGTAGCCAAACCGTGCTAATCGGAGGTGCGGGATTAGAATCGCACTGTGGTCACAAAATCACACGGTGCTCGTATGATACGGCCCTCGCACAAAGTGAATCTCACAATCGCCGAGTGGGAACAGCAGGCAAGCTGGAAGGCTGGCGGGCGGTGAGCCGGTGCCAACAATTGTTCTGAAGTTCTCTACGTATTAAGAAGTTCAAATCCCATTCAAGAGTCGACCCTTGAATGGGATTTGAACTCGTGACCTTCTGGTTGCGAAGCAGCGTCACCCAGAGAAAAAATACAGCTAAGCCGGAATGTCCAGAATGTGTATGTCCCTGTGTTCAAGCCAAAGGGCTAAGTAACTCTGACCTGTCCTGAATTTTAAAAAATGTATATCGT